TAAATAAGGCAATAAAATGTCATAATAAGTTATAAAATGTGCGTAAGAAATTTATTAAGATGTAAGAATAATAAACAAGTTATAAAACTAAAAAATTTTAAAAATTAAATATAGAAGAACAATAGAGATATATTAAAGGTTATTGGTATACGATCCAAGAAAAAGAAAGAAAAAGAACACATAGATTTTGATTTTTACAGAGCGTCTAGGAAAGACCGGGGTTCGTTGGCACAAGAGGCAAGTTGGCAATGCGTTCCGTTTATGTATTTATAGCAAAAAAAACAATGGGAAAGTTATCACAAAATATTTCTTATATATAGGTACTTTTCCCAAAGTTTTATTTTAATCAAACAAGTAAAGAGAAAACTCTGATTTAAGAGGTGGCAAGTAAATTTTTGAGGGTTTTAAAATATCATATTAATGTTCTTCAGCTTGAGAAGTAAATCAAAGTGACGTATCATTAGTTAAAAGAAAAGTTTCTGTTACTATACGACATGATATTTTGACTAACAACAGTAATTTATTGTAATAAAATGACTGAAATAAAACGTATGTAAGGGAGGGGGTATGTTGGCTCATATCAAGACACGCTTAGCTTGACTTGTTGTTGCCGCGCGTGAGACCTGTTTGAGCACGTGATTTGCTATCTATGCTGATAGAAGCTAGATATATATATATATTTATATTAATATTTTTATGAGTTGAAGAAAGCTACATCTAAAATAATTGTTTTTCTGCAACAGCATTTTGCTATTCAATCATTACAAAATAACTTTAAAAGATACAATTTTTATCAAGAAGTACATATCTGTTATCTGTGTTTTGTGTTTCTATTACGTTATTATTAATTTAACATGGACTTTTGTTGTATAGCCAAGTTACCCTACTGTCGGGGCAAGTTGGCTACAATACAGCATGTTCGTATTTCACTTATTACAAAGAAACTAAACAGTATACAGGAGCATTTCTACATGAAAATGTAGAGAAAGGTTCTCTCTATCAAATTAGTATTGTTTAATCATAATAATTAGTTTTTTTAAACTCAAATGCCGAAATTGTGAAAACAGCACTATAACGAGCCCCGGTCTCTCCTAATGGAAATACCTCCAAAAAATTTAAAAATTTGTTTCATACAACAAGAAGATTGTTTCGACGCAAATATAGAAGTAAATCAAGTCTGAAAAGTATATATTTTCCGCGCCAATTTGCATTTTAATTATACTTATATTAGCACAACAGTTATTTTATTATATGTATATAATGTATATATGTATATATTGTATAATATTTTTATCCTTGCTTATGCATTTATATTAATATTTTACATATATCATCATTATACATATACAATTTCCAGATAGTTGGTACCAATATCGATATAGAAAAAGTGAAGATACAGCTGGACATGAAGCGCAAACTGATGAAGGCATCTCTATACAAAATCAAATATTAGGCAAATGTATCAATCAAGATAATTCGATTGAAAGGCATAAAATTAAGTACATAAAAAAATAAATTTAGAAAATTAAAACTACTAACAAAAAGACTTTACAAAAGAAAAAAATACGCCAAGTACATAACAAACCAATTAAAACTATTCATTATTTCATTCATATTGTAGCTATCAGTCTCATAAAACACAATTATAAATTAAAATTAATTGAAAATTGAATATCATAGCTTTATGTTAGTAAAATTCATTGCTATTGCTTATCATAGAAATACGGGTTTTCAACTATATTTTCTGTATTACAATTTGCTACTGCATCAAAAATATAATATTTACTATAGCATACTGTAATAATTATATTCGTGTACGTATTGTTTCAATTAAGAACACGACTGAAGAATGCAAAGTGATGCTTAGATTTTCTTTATGCATAGCTGAGGAATCAATAGACGCTCGTGCCGTGTGAAATCGGAAAATATAGAATAATAAAATAAAATTAATATAAAATAAAAAATTCTATTTTCCCTGATTTGACAAAAAAATTCAAGATTTGATTTAATGAAGGTATTTTGTAACATATTAAATTTTTTCTTGGCAAAAATACAATTATATCTCTTTACAACATTTCGTCAATCATCAGACAAATTTTTGGTAAAAACCAATCAGCATCGAATACATGTACAATAAAATAAATCTTTTTTTCTTATTAAATCACCAACAATTATTTATTATATATTATTTCTTAGCATTGGATTGGCCAATAAGTCCGTGCGGTTTTTCTCGATGAACATTTATAAGTAAAAAACCGCATGGACTTATTGGCCAACCTATTATATAGTATTACATATATAACTATATACATATTCTATGACAAACTATAAAGCCAGTGCGGCGATGCGAAAACACGATAATTATTGCAATAGAAGGCAAGAGAAAGCAGCTGGGCAAAGGATAAAGATGCAAATATTTGCAAGTAGGGTAACCAGGGAGAATATACCACACTTAACAAAAATTTGATTTTTTCCTATTTTTCTTCCTCTTTGAAGTATGTTTGCGTACTGGTCTCCTTTTTCCTCCCTTTATCTGTTATTTGTATATGATTTTAATAAAATATTTTGATTGTTTTTATTATTATTAAAAAGAAAGAAATACAGAAGTGTTGCAAAGTGGCATTACCCAACCGTAATATACCACATATAATTATGTAGTTCAGTTTTAAAAGTTACTTTATTCATAAAAACAGTACAGTCTTTAAAATAAGTTAGTACAAATAGTTTCTAAAATAAAATTTTGTAACTAAATTTATATAATATTAAAATTATTGTAATATTGGATTGCAACATTTGAAATTAAAATGTAAAATAAATCTTAAAAACTGCAAAACCTAACCCTATATATAAACTTTAAAACCTTTAAACTTTATTATAACTTTGTGTCAGTTACAGTTTTTTTCAGCTACATTTTTTTTCTTTTTAGTTTTCCTCGTATACCTACATTCGAGACATTTTTGTTTAAAACATGTAAAAAATGTTTTTTTTACTTTCTTTGTATTTTAATAGTGTTGTGTACTACAAATAATCTAAATTATCTGGAATACAATTTTGCAAAATATTAAAGTAGCTTATTCATAGCGCATAAATTAAATATTTAGGTTTATTCTCTTTGAATATTTATACGTGAAAAAATGTTTATACTGCAGTTTACAACTTCCTAATCTCTACTGTACGTTAGGAAGCTGCAAACAGTACTGGTATTTTATCCCTACTCATGTAGTTGCATATTCCTCCAAAACGTAATTTTATATTGTAATGAGTCTGTACAATATGGCTGTCAGTAAAACAAATCAGTGTTATATTAAATACTTTCATCCTAATCAATACTAACAGAACGACAAGTTAATTGAGTTAAAAATAGTGTAACGTTTAAAGAATAACTTACATAAAGCATTAAGAAACACGTTGTCAAATGTACTTATTTCATAAAAACTATAATACTGCCAGAGGAAATAAACAAAACTTATGCAAAACGTCTGCAGATATAGAATTATGTACAATTTCATGATATTTATAAGTGCGCTTTTAGCCGTAGCTTTGTTAAAACATAACGAGTGGCATATTCTCTACACTCGCATATTCCCCCAGTTACTCTATACATATAATATTTTTATGATAGTTTTTATTTGCTGAAAAATTAAAAGTGACACGGAAGACGAAAGAATTCAAATTAACACAAAACATGATGATATTTCTTGCTAAGACCTCTTAAACAAAATTGTTTCATTTTTCACTTATATTTATATTATCTAGTAAATCTCTGAAAATGGTAAAAGATCACACAAAAACGAATCTAGAAAAAAACTGTATTAATTTATTTATTCTGTATTATTTGTATTTTTTTATATCATAAGTATTTATATTATACCTACATATAAAATATAATTAAAATATTTGATATTTACATGAAAAGAAATGTTGATGTTTACATAAAAAAGGAATATGACACGAAAATAGTAACAAAATAAATAATATTAATACACATATACAATGTAGATTTAATATACAGTTCCGGTAAAAAGTATTACATTGTTTATGGAAAGGGAAGTCGTTACTTTAATAAGTAACGTACACAAATGTTATAAAATTTTATTTTAGTACTGTTATTTTATAATTTAAATAATTATATAATTATTCAAAGCATATGGACGGGTTTACAGTACTAGAATAAAATTTTATAACATTTATGTACGTCTTCCTTAAAGTAACGACTTCCCTTTCCATATAGTGATGCAATACTTTTGACTGGTACTGTATATTAAGCATTAAAATTATATTTTTTTAAATTTATTACATTGTAAATATACGTCTATCTTTGAGTTTGCAACAAAGCAAAATCTTTTTCAAGTTATTACAATATTTTCTTGTACATTTTTTTGTGTGGACACTATATCTATTGTATTATTATAGAAACATAAATAGCTTTTTTGTGGAACGAGTACCGTCACAAAGTTTAATATGGCCCTTTAACCGCAAATTTATTCTATGTTATAGTATACGTTATATCACGTTAATTAAACGTGATATATTGTTAATCATGTTAGCACATGCAACATTGCAGTTACCGTATGCATGCAAATGAACAATGTTTCCAACATAATTTGTGAATAATTATTAATATAAATGCGTTCTGAATTGAATTGTACAGTTTACATCAATTGTCCATACATAAATCCAAATTTCATATCTTGAACAAATATTTTCTAACAACAACGCTGGATTTTCGCGGGGAAAAACTATAGAGTGCATGTAAATATTTTATAAATATTTATCTAAATATTAATACTTTTGTAATTTTATAATTTTGCACAAACATGCATACAGAGTGTCCCATTTTAAACATTTCAGCTAAATATCTCGAGAATTGAGATCGACTTTTTAAAGCCATTTTAATTAGATGTGCATTAAAGACGGAAAGGTCTTTAATTCGAATATTACAACTCAAGGGGAGACATTACAGTATCTTCTTTACACCTTTTCCGCTTTCAACGACTCACCTGTACATGATGTAGCTGCGTAAGTTGATGATGTTGCAGCGGATTCGGCGGCGGGGTGCTCGGCGAGCTGACCACTTGAACGGTGCCGTGCTGCTGCAGGTATGGTTCCAGGAAGACATCGCTTCTGCAACACAAAAGGGGGGAAAAAGAATTACAATCTGTTGCCAGCTCGTGTCCCTCGCATCAATTAAATTGCTTTACGACGGGTTTACGACACGGAGATGGTCGTGTCACGGAAACGGGCACAGAGCAACACTGGTTTTCCCACGCGAGCGCCTACTTGCGCCTCGATATAGCGTATCAGCCAGTATACACGCGATCAATCGGCGACGTAAGCCGCGACTACAAGTCGTACAATAAAATTCGCTTAATGTTGTTGGACAGATATATTCTATCTGCTTATATAAGAAAAAAAAATATTGTATCTGTGCTAAATATAAAATAAGATAAAATCGAACAATTTTTAAAAAGAAAAGATTATATTATGTAAAAATTTTGTTAATAATAAAAAAGAATAATTTATTTTTCACAATAACTAAATAAGAATTGTATACAAGAAAAATGCTATTTTACGCATATATTCTCTGTTAAGTTTGAATTTTACACATTAATTAATCCATTTGATTTGTTTAAACTATTTAATAACAAATATTTTAACACATAAAAATAAAGATGCGGAATGTGTACCTATTTGTTTATATATAGCAAGGTAGAGCGCTCATAAATAATTTTAATAGTCAAATTTTTATCTCATAATTCTCGAAATTTCTTCAATTTCTAGACTTGCCGTTAGGTATACGTTAATACCGATTTGAAGCAAATTATTTATTAAAATCAGTTTAACATTTTTTTATCATTGATAATAAGATTTTAATAAAACTGAATAAAAGATCTAAAAAAATAAAAAAATAAAAATAGAAACAAATTATTTATTAAAATCATTTTGATAATTTTTTATTGTTGATAATAAAATTTTAATAAATAAAATACAATTAACAAAATAAGAAAAATGTTTAATAAGATAATAACAACATAAAACAAGTAAAGTGTGCAAGTAGAAACCTGCACATTGCTTCCTCATAGTTTTTAAGTGTGTAAGTAGAAACCTTTGCTCACAAAGCTTCCTCTATTTGTTTTGGCTTCCTCATAGAAGAAGCTTTGTGAGCAAAGGTTTCTAGGGACCTTTGATCACGTATAAAGCTGAGTCTAATCAACCAAATCTTAAAGAATTACATATGAAATAGGGGTAGAAAAGACTGAAAAATATAATAAAATTAGAAATAGATCAATATCTCCAAATTTGTGGAAATTAAAGCATAAACAAACATTTCTGCAAAAATTCAAAATTTTATTAAAAAAGAACCCCTTGATTATTAGCAATTTTTATTAATTTTATTATATTCTTAAGTCTTTTCTACCCCTATTTCATATATAATTAGTTAAGATTTGGTTGATCAGTTCTGGAGTTGTAAAAATTTCTGTAAATTTGGCACAGACATACACACATACACACATACACCAATACACACATACACACATAACGACATTTTTTAAAATAACGATTTTTCGACGTTTTAGAACATTCTGAACACATTGGCAAAAGCAACTCAAAAAAAATTTTTTTTTACAAAAACAAAGTTTTCTCTATGAGGAAGGTTTGTCCTAAAACTGGGATATTGGTCGTTATTTAAATTAAATAATTTTTAATAATTTAACAGGCTGTATCCCCGAGAATCGCATGCATTCTGCATAGAGCGAACTTTGGTTTTACAAGATATTAATCTTATTTGATGGATTCATCATCACAAGCTCTGATAAATACGATCAACCCTCGTTCGTTGACCAAGCGGTTTAAAGATAGAAAGAGAAATTCTAGATTTTCCATTTAATTTAACTTGAAGGCTCGGAAGCCGAGTGCGTGCGCTTTTCTTACAATCTGAAAAACGTCATGAAAGAACTAGCGGACAAAGATGTCTACCCCTACCCCCCTACGAAGGACTCGTTTATCGGGCGCGCGAGTTTTTGTTATATCATACAGAAGTACCGGTAATCGCTCGCAAACTTGCAGGTAAATTCCAGGGAGAGGGGAAAAAGTAAGGCTATATAGTGCGGATATATTGTGTTGTGATGTAAATAGGCCTTTATGTAATTTCCATAGAATTATTTCATGAAAGGACAAAGAAGTATAACTCGGTAATTGCCTTTCGCCGAATTCTGTGTCGTGTTTTACGAGAGTAATTCAATTTTCTCTCGCGAATTGTTATTAGAATTATTATTAAAAATTTTTCAATCGTATAATAATTAAGAATTAATACATTATTATAATTACTGTCAAAGCTTATTTGAAAGTTAACTACATATTTGCAAGAAGTTTCTAATTATATATATTTAATATTGCAATAATTAAAAAATGTAATATATAATTATGCATATAAAACATTTTGTTTTTATTAGTAATCTTATGACTAATTTTTTAAATTTTATTATTAAAATTACTTTAATAGCAAATAGTTTTTCTCAAATTTTTTCAATATCCAATTTTTATTTCTACGTTAATCTACAATATATGATAATAAACATATAACAAATTGCATAATATAATAATTATAAAATTATATGAATATGCAAAAATTAATATTTGAGCAACTTCAAAGATTTTACTCCGTTGCGTCCTGCAATATTTAGAAACATTTCGTGTCGATTTTAAGTTGTGTGCCAGGACGGCAAAGTTTATACCCGGAAACGATGAATAACTGACGTTGGTTCATGTCACAGCATAGCGCTTATTTCCGGCGAAGTTCGCGCGACAGCATTATTCTCGTCTCGAACTTTGTGAGATGGTTGAATGTCAAATTTGGGGCGTGGACGATGCAAAGCCCACATTGTCGGCATAAACGGCACGATGTATTGTGCTCCTCCCCCCCGGTCTCTCTTTACTTTATGTTTGGCAGCTAGGTGTATTTTCCACGATGACTGAATCGCTGAGGGCGTGTTTCTGATGAAATCCACGATAAATTTGTGTTTAATAGACTTCCGATTGCCGTCAATAAATTCTTTAGGTATATAAAGTACTTGATGCTTCATGACAGTTTCTGATTGTGAGTCAAAGGAAGAATAAAATTCGAAGGATGAGTGTCTAGGCTTTGGGAAGTTGAGAAGAACAAAAATATTAAAAAATTCGCAATTACAATTAAAATATACCTACAATAATATATCAAAATAATTTCTTAACAAGTAGAAAAATTAATAAAAATATATACAACAATTAATAAAAATATATATAATATATAACCATTTTTATATATTATAAATATATATAAATGGTTTAAATAATACACATAATAACAATTTATAATAAAATTAATTTCTTTGACGATTAAAAATGTTATTTAAAATAGTTTGATAATATTCTATATATATTTGCTGCGCGTGAAATTATATTTGTATTATTTATGTTAATGTATTATCTCATATTGTGTTATTATTTTTATTTAAATATTTACATATTATATATTTTATTATATTTAAAATATTTTATTATAAATAACATAATTATTATTACAGTTTATAAGCAACAACAAATTAATATATTTTTTCATTAAGAAATATATTTGCTATAATATCCTATAAGCCTTTTTCTTCCTTAAAAGTTTCCACACAATATAAATTTTTATTAGTTTCAATTGCGTATATTTGCATAAAATAGACTAACGCAATGATATGTGAAAAAAAGCGTAATGTCATGTTGAGACGTATATCGATCTCTCTGTATAATATATATTGAGATAGACGGCACAAAAAGTAATATATTTCTCCGTGAAGTCTGTAGTAGTCTGCATACGTCTTGTTCACAGGATCCTCGAGCCGACATTACAGACTATACGATGAACCTGAATACATACGTGAGTATGTATGTACACGAAGCGCAATATCCATATACGAGCAGGTGTTCCGCGACCTGCCCGACGAATTTCGCTTACAAATTTTTTGTGTAATTTAGAGTGAATAAATTTTTTTAACGAGAATATTGAAATGTACGTATTCTTCTAAAAATTTTAACATTAAAATGTAAGGTTAAAAATCGATATTTAATACTAAAGATTGCGAAGTAAAGAAGGATGGCATCCTATAAAACTTTGCTATAAAAAATCAACGACACACAAATCAATCTCAAAGTGTCTATAGAGAAAATTTGTTATAAAATAGTTTGTACGTGTATATGCAATTCAGTAAAACATTTTGGACCTTTAAAAATCAAGCAGGTTTTACGTTGCTAACTGAAACGTTCAAACTGAAAATAACGTGGAAAGCAAGGGTGATGATATTGAAGATACATTCCTGGACCGACAGTGATGTTGGCCGTCTGTGAGATCGGACTATGGGGGTTGCCATGGCGATGGGATGGTTCTCAACACGTGGTTCGCTGGCGAGCGCCGGCGACATTTTTACCTATTAACAAGCCGCGGGGTGCATTCGGGTGCATAAAAAGGGTCGCACCCTCTGGCAAAGACAAGAGCACAAAGAAGAAAGACTTTTACACGCTTTCTTCCGCGTTTCCTTCGTTCAAGGATGAAGACGGCGGAAATTTAGCGGCAGAATGGTGTAATTAAAGAAGATTTTAACACGTTGCTTCGCATAATGCACTCCTGTGTATTTAACTGAAACAATATCCTCATCTACTTATTGACTCATAGATACACAGCACAAAATAGTAGAAAAATTAAACATTTAAGTTATAAAAAGTTGTGAAAATTTTCAACTATGCGTCACATTGTATTTGCTTCGATAAGCAATAATGCTTGAACTAGTAAAATTAAAAGAATTAATATTATAAAATGCTTTACTAAAAATACTTTAATTAAATATCGCTTTTATATGATTTTTTGTTATATTATAAGTAAATTTTCTTTTAATTATTTATTATTGTCAATTATGAAAAGGCGAGTTAATTCCAATTAATTGTTTAACTATGATAGCAATTTCTTACGACTTTTTTCGCTCTTTAATAATTTTGTAGTTTTTTATCCTTTCTACTAGTAGATATTGTAAATAATAAAACAATATCTCCATGCCACAATATATCAAGAAATTGCGCATGAGAATTCCAATATTCTCATCTCATTG